TCACAAACTAATTGGCCGAATCACTAGACATTGTTAATTGAAAAACCGAGTATCATATCACAAGTAAACATACATATAAAGTCACGCAAATAGTGATAATAAGTAAAAATATTTATATAATCATGCAAATAGGGAGATCATATAATAATAACTAGAAATCGAAAACATGTATTAAATTAAACGAAAAGAGAGAGATATGGCATTTGATAATAAAACAATTTTTTTTTTTTCCCAAATTCCCTAACTGTTGAGATTTGGGCATAGTTAAAAAATAATAGTATATAATTTCTGATAAGGATGTTAAATAAAATAACGTGGGCAATAAAATCTCTTACTTATTAACTAAAAAAACATGTGCTGGAAGGTAAAATTTTGATTAGTCAAAGTTATATAGAGTTGTAGATTCTTCAAATTCATTAAAACTTATCCAAATCATAGAAATTATATATTTTCTATTCTTTATATATTTGTACCTATATATATAGATTCTTATTTTCATCTAACAGATTCCCAATACTTCTCAGTATCAGGCCGTAAGTCTTACTGTATTTGATTTTTTTTTCTTCATGTTAACAAAAATCTACTTACTTTTCTTTTCAACTACGCAAAGGTCACAAAACAGAGTTATTGAGGGGATGAAGAGGAAATCTGCTGCTACCAAACAACATTCAGAGAATTTGAGGAAATTTCATGACAACAGTGACAGAAACACAAGTAATCGTCGAACTAATGAAGGAGATGGCAGAAGTCTCCTAACAACACAAACACCAATGCTACATGATGAAGATTCTAATCCAAGTAAAATTTCCATCTCAGTTCTATTTCTTCACTATGATTGTTTATAATAGATGGTTTAATAGCATATTATAAGTTTTGCAATTTAGTTTAAAATTTCATTACCATAGTAGTAAAACAAATGTTTGTTTATATATTAACTAATTTTACCTTTGAGTTTTCTGAATCTGTCATCTGCACCTCTAAGAATATGGACTTTTGTTTTCATCATCCTCGCACATGAAATTCAGAAAAGATTTTTAAGTTAGTTACAGAGTGTATATGTAAAAGTAACAGTACTAATATTCTCTTTGTATATATAGATATGAAAGAGTAGAAATATAATGTATTTAATATATAAATATGATTACCTTCTTTTAGGTGTTCTTCTTTAACTGTTGAACAGTAAATTTGGTTTAATGAGAACAATTAAATCAATTATATTTGGTTAAGTAGTTTAATGAGTACAAGTATTTTTCATTACCTGTTCAACAGTAATCTATTCCAAGATCCTCTCTGTAATGTCTTCATACATAGCATTTCCAGTACAATCTTCGGTTTGACCTCTTTTTTTTTCACCTCACATGTAATTGTATCAAAAAACATTGTGTCAGGATAAATTTGTTCAATTCATGAGATAGTCCATCTGCACCTCTATGTGTTGTATGCTGAAAATTTCATAATATTAAGATTTAAAAAAAAAAATCAATCTATTACTATTTAGCAGTCATATATACAACACTCAACACTGTTAACATACAAACAAGGTATTTACGGTTTGTCTGTCTTAATATGTGACCCCGTCTGTTTTAATATATGATCCCATTTGTTTTAATATAACACTCAAACACCAGACTGTCAGTTTTAATATACAACACTCATCACGATAAGACCGTCTGTTTTAATACGTGATCCCGTTTATACAACACTCAACACTATTAACATACAAACAAAGTTTGTTTTAACAATCCATTCGAAATAGAAATAATTTTATTAGAAATTATTTACATTTATTTGTTGTCTTAATAATATTTTGATAATGTCGCCATTTATTTATTTCTACAGAAAATATAATTAGTGATCATTCCGTCGTGCAAAATAAAAAAAAAACGGGCAGATAGTATTTTTCAGATTCAAGGACATTCACCGTTATCAGATGTCACCAATGGTAATCAAATTTCTTTATTATTTTTTTATTATTTATTTTGAACGCTCAATTTTGTTACATAATAATTATATTTTTGTTAATATTTTTTTTTAATTTTATTGTAGTTTTTGGAACTATCAATTCGTCTACTTCGGCGAAACATATGTATTCTAGCATTTGGAGTAAGGGTTTTTTTTTTTTTTTTT